AAATGTAGATGTCATGGAATTTAAATATCATGAACGTATGCAAAACCGGAATCAAATCCGAGTACAAAAAATGAGGTTATGCAAGTAAAAGTGAAAAACGAGAAGAGGAAGAAATAAGGAAAAGACAAAAATGAATAGTGTCAAAAAAAAAATGTGGAAATGACTCGGCCCTCAAAGGAAGTTGTCAATCCAAAGGAAAGAGTCTCAGAAACCATTTCCGAGCACTCGAGATGACACTAAGAGGTGGGAAATCGAACATGAAAAGGAAAAGACAATGAAAAAAATTTATCCGCAAAATTTGAAGAAAGGGAAAGAAATGAAAATGACCGGGTCATTACAAAGCCGAACCAAAACGGCTACCAAAATTGGGGGCATTGTTGCCACCCATTTTGGTAATTGGGCTTGGACTATGAAGAACATTATTATTCAACATGGATCAGATAATATATTTGGACTATAATTGGGATAGTAACGATGTTGCAGTTAAAGAATAATTTGTTTCTGCATAGATTGTGTTTAAAGGTGAAACAGATAGAGTTGGTTTGGATAACCTGAAGTAACAAATAGATAGGGACTATATTGCTAATAGATATCGATTAGTTTATTTATTTAGTTGCATAATTATGTTTCTCTATAGGATTAGGTTATTATTTGAAAACAATAATTAGTTATTGATAGAGTTTTGATGTAATTAGAATACTTAGGTATAGCTTTTTGTTTACGTTTTATTCTATAAATAATCAAAGAGGCATGCTATAATAGAGGTTCAGCACTATCGAAATCATTATATTATTTTGTTTGCTTTCTCAAGCCTTTTGCCTAAATAGCATCCTTTTGCCTAAATAGCATCCTTGCTATTTTTCTCTATCTCAATCTATCTCAAGCCCTTTCCCTAAATAACATCTTTGCTACTTGGTGTGTCGCCGCACCAACGCTTAAAGATGTGTAAAAGATAGTGGATGTGCAATGTAGCCAAGTTTTATATTTATAAATGTCATTACTACCATTAACTAAAAATATAGCAAGGGTGAGTAAGGATCGTCCCAAGGGATTGAAGGGCTACTAGTAATGGAACAATGCTTAGCGTTAGTAGGTCGAGTGATCAAAGGTTGGTTGTTTGGTTGATTAAGCTACAATTAAGATTAAACAAAATCAATATAAAACAAGTAATTAAAGGATAGAGAAAACAAGAGAGAGAGATCTTGGGACTTGGGACTTAGAGATCACCACCAAGCATCACATTTCTATACACTCAATTCACAATTAATGAGGGGAAAATATATGTTGCAACAATAGTGAGTGTGTGTGGTTGTTTTTATAAGCATGAATGACCAATTAAGTATATATTGTCTAAACAATATAATGAATAGCACAATACATCAAACTAAGTCATTAATCCTTCTTTAAGCTCACAATCCAAACACATCACATAATTAGAGAAATATACTACTTGCATTCATAAGTATGGAACATCAAACAACAAGCATGAATTGTTCTCCCATTTAACAACTAAGGTAGCTACACTACATCTAAGCTAATGACATGGAAAGTAAACTAATTAGACTAAGGGAGAGGCATAATCCATCAAGAAATGAGTATGAACCATCAAATAAACCACAAGAGCATTCTATTAAGCACTATGTCTTGACAATTTCTAGATCTATAGCATCAACACACATAGACATGCATCAACAACACAAGAGATAGAGATAAACATATGAACATCTATTCTAGCATACATAGACATATGGATAGAATGAAATGATCAATTGGAAGAATTAAACCACACAAATCATTGAATAAACAAGATCTATGTATATAAATATGTTAAAACATGTATTACAACACAAATCCCCTAAAAAATACATAAATAAAGGTAAAGAAAACATGCTTAGGGCTAACTCTAGCCCCAAAAAGATGTCTAGCCACTCATGAATGGTGTCCCCTAACCCTCAAGGGCTATCTCCATGGTAGAAATGTTCTTCTTCTTGAGGACGATGGAAAACCTCTCAAGAATGTCTCTAGCCTCCTCTTCTCTTTTCTTCCTCTCTAAGAAATGCATCTAAGATTATAAAAAACTATCTATATGTAAAAGTGGCTCATATTCCTTATATAGGTAGCTCAAATGTCACACCCAATGGTCTAGGCTTATACACAAGGGCTTCTCCAATGATTGCACAATGAGATAACTTTTAATGAGCTAGAAATATATTTTTTTCAGATTTGAGAGGGTTCGATCGATCGAACTTATGCTGTGATCGATCGAACATGGCTGAGATCTATCAAACTTTGGCTGGGTCGATCCTCCCATGGCGGTGCCTTTTTGGATAAAGACGGACTGAGATATTTGAGGAAAGAGACAAAAGTGGTAGGTAGGGTGGTACAACAGGATAAGATGGAATCTTTTCGATCGATCTGAGAATTATTGGATCGATCTAACTTTGTAGAATCTTTGAATAAGGACAAAAGAGCTCGGATCCATCTTGGAGAGTCTAGATTGATGAACTTTCGATCGATCGAAGTATTCTTGAGATCGATCGAACCTGCTGAATTTCAACACTTTGCTTCAATCTGCTTCCATTTTGCTCCTTTCTTCTATCCAGCTTGAGTTAGCTTCTTTTAAGCTCTTATTTAACAGAATTAGCTTATTTTGGGGATAAACACCTAAAAAGGGAAAGTAAAATAGATAAAGGTCCTAAAGGGTTTAAAAGCTCACTTTTCAGCGCTCATCACTACTTTTCTCTATCTCTATCTCTATCTCATTCTCTCTATCTCGTTCTAATTCTCTCCCTCTATTTTTCTCTCTCTATCTCTTTCTATATCCAGAGTTTCTCCCATTTCTATTCTCAATCTATTACTATAAATTATTCATTGTAAAAGTCCTTTTAATTAAGGCAATTTTTGAACTCAAAGAGGAGTTTTACTGTTCCATTTTTTCCTCGCATCGTCTGAAAGTTAACCTTCTCAAAGGGACTGAAGTTGACAATTCACACTTGAACCATATGATTGGTTCTGGCACACCCGTATTACATCAATTTAGAATCAGATCTAAGGAGCCAATTTTAGCGTCAACACACGTACATTTAAACTAGAAAGACTAGACTTGTCTCTAGTTTTAAGTCTTCTGTTGATTGCCAACCAAGTAATGAAAACATGTCTAGGGATAAGTATGGGCAGAGGGAAGCAGGGCATGGTAGGTATGTTTCAAAATGAAACTACCCAACGGAGAGAGATTCCAAATAGGTTTGTCAGGGGGTGTCATTGTGAATTTGAGGAGCTTGTTCAGAATTGCCAATTAAAAGGAACTATGGCTCGAAAAGAAGGGTGAAATCTCCATTTACCATGTCTGATCAGATAGCACATTTTTGCAATGTCATCCCCCATGCAGTTAGCAATGAGGATTGACTCAAATCTTTGGTCAAGAGAATCTAAAGGCAGCCAGTAGTCATGCCATAACGAAGTGGCCTTACCATTACGTACCCACATGATGCTCGACCAAAGGTCTAGCAAAGCTTATATGTTTCAGCATCATCCTCCATTTCCATGAAGCTGATGAGTTGAAAGGGCTTGATACACCAAAAGTTTTGTTCTTGATTAGATTCGAATGAACCCAATCCAACCATAAAGACTGTCCACCATTTTTGAAGTACATAGACACAATGGGCTTTGATTCAAACCTGGTTGCTTATAACTGCTTGATTGATCGGCTGGTCAGATTGATTATGCAATGAAGGTGTTTGAACTGATGGAGCAAAAGGATTCTTTGGTCTATTTTCTTCAGGATTTACAAGAGAAGGCAGGAAGCTCCAGTTAGAAAAACGATGGACTATATACACAATATTTGTGCTCTTTGACGTTTGATTATTCTTTAATATATAAATAATATAAGTATTTTCCTTTCACTGCTCATGAAACATTTCCAAACACTCTGAGGTTATGCTTTTCAATAATGAATTCACTTTTTGTAATTAGCCCATATGTTTTTCAATTATGAATTATATTCATCAAAAAAATAGCTTTTTTGTTTTTTTTTTTTTAATAACCCATGCTATGAGCATAGCAGCTTCAAGTTTATCATGTATCTCCTTTCATTATAGGGTTCACAAAGGGATTAAGTTATTCATGGTGATCATTGATGTAAAATAATTTTATTCGTGGAAGAGTGAAACTTTTCCAACAGTTCTCTTGACAACTTTCTTTTGAGAAAAAAGTACAATGGCGCGATCAGCATTGAGAAGAGTCGGTTGGGTCTACAGTGTTTCTGAAGGAGGTTCTAACATCATTCCTCTATGACATGCAAGAAAATAATTTTCCACTGGCAAGTTATATGCAACAAGAATTGAGTTATTAAAAGGGGAGGAAAGGAAAGAAAAGAAGGATATGATTCATAAATACTCACAAATAAAATGGCATTAGGCCTCTTCTAGTTACATTGAATTGGATCAATTGTTCAATTTGGATGGTAATAAGCTCTCTCTTTGCACTACAACAGTTTTGATTTTTACCAACGCTCAAAAGCACTGGTAAAAGCCTTAAAAAACGCTAGTAATTCAATTACCAGCGCTTCTTCAAAAGCGCTGGTAAATCCAGTGTCGGCAGGCCTTTACCAGCACTTTTCCAAAAGCACAGGTAAAGAGCCTTTATCAACGCTTCTCCAAAAGCGCTTCTCCAAAAGCACTGGTAAAGGGTTATTTGAAATTTTTTTATTTTTATATTTTTTTTTTCCCTATGCCAGCGCTTAAAAAGCGCTGGTAAAGGATTATTTGAAATTTTTTTTTTTTAATATTGTTTTTTCCAATATTTTTTTTTCCCTATGCCAGCACTTCTTAAAAGAGCGTTGGTAAAATTATTTACATTTTTCTTTTTCCCATTATTGTTTTTGGAAAAAATTTCTTCACGGCTACTAAATGCATCCTAACACAAGTCAATATAAAAATACCATCCAAATTGTTTTTACAAACCACAAGTTAGCCCTACCAATATGAAAAATACCATTGAAATTGACTACTAATACCACCACAAGTTAAATTGGTAAAAAATGTATACTAATACAACCACAAGTTAACCTGCCAATATGAAAATACCATCCAAATTGTCTAGATAAAGGTACTAAATGTCACACAAAAAGAATTAAGAATTTTTAACAAATGTAATACAAGTTTTTCAAAAAGAACCCATCCAAGGCGAAGGAAATTCAAAAAGTACAGCCACGACCCCATCTTCAACTTCAACTTCAACAAGTCTTCTTGCCCATTTGATTTGAATTACCCAATATTTTTTATAAATTCATTAAGCGCACATTATAATAAATGAAAATTTAACATATATATAAGAGAAATTAAAAGTTCATAACCTTAACTGAATTGGCATCACGACTAGAAAATGGATTTGGGGATACTCTAGGAGGAGCATTTAAAGAATCAGAATCCTTCAAAATAACAAAACAAAATACATGAAATCTTGGCATAAGTAAACATATATTTAGTAAAGAGTAAAACTAATAATAAATATACCTGTCCACTACAATTTTGTTGTTGCATCTGCATTAGCATAGCCACCTGTTGTTGTAAATTTTCCAACTTGTCGTCGTAGTTGGCTCGTAAATTTTCCAACTTATTGTCATAGTCGGCTTGCATTTTTTAAATCGTCTCCTGCAACTCTACACATGTAACACGTGCCTCCTCCTAAGATATTTTAGCATTATTAATCAATTCAGCTTTACTAGGAGAGGGCCCCAAACATCGCTTGGTGCAGGCCCGAAGCCAAGCATCCGCACACGACCAGTTCTCTCTTCTCCCCTCACAATGGAGAACAAATCATTGGAGCTGCCAATAGGCGAGTCAGAGTAACTTTGAAGTTATCTTATGTTTTCCTGCCAAAAAAAAAAAAAAAGTTTGAACTACCATGACATCCAGAACTGAAAACCCTAGATTCTAAATAAAGCACAAAAGAACTAAAATCCCATCAAGCTATGAACATGTAATGCTTAAATATACATGTGCATGTATAATATATATATATATATATACACACCTAAGCTTTCATGACAAAAACAAAAGGATTTAAATAAAGTAAATAGAGAAAAAAAAAAATCAAATTTTTATCAAATTAGTAGTTCTTTTACCAATTTATTTATTTATTTATTTTATCAGTAAGAAATTCACACACATATTTATGTTTTTGGGGACGTGAACTCTAGAAAGGTAGAGTGTATGAACTAAATTACCCATTAACTAAATTGCCCATATACAAAAGAAGATTAAGCAACATGTTAATGACCCTATACCAGCATGTTAGTAGACTGATTTAATTGTCAAAAGGGGAAGATTATTGCACATAAGGTGGGATCCACTCTATATGTGAGAGGTGATTTCCACCCTTCATTAGTGCACGGACAGAATCCTCTCTTGGTCTTGGGACCATCATGGAATTTTGGTGCACTGAAGAGCTCGAATCCTTGGCACCATTAACCATCATTGTGGTTGGTGACGTGAGTTTGGTTGTTTGTTTGGTGCTAAGAAAAAGAAAGTGGTTAGTTTGTTGGTTAGTTTGTGATTAAGAATCCGACACGATCAATCTTATCGCTTTAAGGTAGCACCAAAGCTAGATAGCAAACAGTCCATGGTCTCCATGTTTGAATGATTTGAGCTTTTTCTACAACAAGACATCTCACTAACAGTCAAGTTACAGCACTCCTAACAAAACTTACATCTAGTCTTCTATGGCGCAATGTTTTTGACCTCAAATGAATTCACTTGGAACATTCTATTTGTTAACATTTGATTTGCCCTTCAAAGTAACAACTGATCATTATGCTTGCTTCGTCTATAGGGGACCTAGCTTAATTACTAATTAATACCCTCTTTCTTGTGTCTCAGCTAATTAACATTGATCCTAAATAATGTTATCAAGTCAAAAACTCAACAAAAAAAAAAATTTTAAAATCTGAAAAAGAAAATACAGAATTCAATTTCTAAAAATTCCAAAATTGACTGGCTGGAACTGATCAAAGTGGATGGGAAGGCTAGGGATTGAAACAGAATGAAGTTGATGAGATGAGGCCAAATATATATGTTTGATCTTTTTTTCATTATTATTTTTGTTGGGTACCTTAGCAAAACAAGTTGGGGTTTTTGATCATATTCTGGTTTTTATACAGAGCACTGATATGAAATTTATAGCTTAGCATTTATATACACTCTACTCTGTATTTGTTAGGTCCTCTTTGAATTCAACTAGACGTCAATGTAAATGTACCATAATAAGTATGAAATCCACACTAAGGATTATATTAGTTCAATATTTGAACATAATCTTTTTCTGATTCCAGTTCTAATACATGAATTCCATACTATATATCCTTAGTTGTGTATCAGAGTTGATATATATATATATATATATATATATATATATAATAAAATATAAAAATAAAAAAAAGAAAAAAAAAAATGGGGGATGATCCGGCTATAGTGGGTGGGCTCCAAATAATTTCAGAACAGAAGTTTCAAATACAAGGAAGTGGAAAGCCCTTTTCTTTATTTAACCAAGACCACAGGAGAAGAATGAGCCACGTATAATGCTTTATACTCTCTATATGGATCCATAAGCTACTTTTCTATTTGTTGGTGGAATGCATTAGTCAATGTCAAATGTTATATAAGCTACCATATTTATATGTAACCCTGTGAGTTTGTGGCACTTGACATTAATTGATAAAAAGTTGATGTGATTCACACTAGTCTTGCATGTGCTTAAAAGTTCAAAGGCAAAAACCAGTGCAGTCTGGAAGACGACGGGCTTAAATCACTTTATTCCATGGGCAAAACCTCTGTTGGACTGCACATTACGTGACAAAGAAGCATATGATTAAATAAGATTCATTAAACCCCATGAAGTACATGATCCTCCTCATCTATCTGCTCATTAACCAAAACTACAGAATTTCCTATAATACGTTATTATGCTAACCGCCATTCTGATTGCCATCAAAGTGTTTGTGATAAAGACTGAGTTTTCATTGTGTTATGTCAAATTGGAAGCAAACTCAGACCCATCAGGTGACGAGACCCATCAAATTCCTGGATGATGTATAAAATCAGTCTAATATTTTAAGGGAGAAATGAGAATGGAGTACGGTTCCACGATTCTGGATCCCCACCTAAAGGGATCTTTCCTTCGTTTTGTATCCTTCAACAATTTGATGATAAAATGTAACATCATAAAATAATGATTTAATATAATTATTGTATAAACAATATAATATTATTGCATAAAAGAAGTTATATAAAAGTTGTAAATGTTCCTAATTCGGCACAGGAGAGATCCCAAATCATGGACCCATTCTGGTAACTTTACAGGAATGTATAAAAATTAAGTTTAGTCAACAAGTCATCTTTGACCCTTTCATTGTGTTGCATCTGGGTTATCCTAAGTTAATCTTTTCAGAACTGAAAAAAAAAAAAAAAAAAAAAAAAAAGAATCTGAATTGGATTAGAAATCTGCAGAGATTGAATCTGAAACAATTTTTACCAACATGCCAAGCTTTTTGAAGATGGAAATCTTTTCAGAACTGAAAAAAAAAAAAAAAAGAATCTGAATTGGATTAGAAATCTGCAGAGATTGAATCTGAAACAATTTTTACCAACATGCCAAGCTTTTTGAAGATGGAAATCTTTTCAGAACTGAAAAAAAAAAAAAAAAAGAATCTGAATTGGATTAGAAATCTGCAGAGATTGAATCTGAAACAATTTTTACCAACATGCCAAGTTTTTTGAAGATGGAAATCTTTTCAGAACTGAGAAAAAAAAAAAAAAAAAAAAAAAAGAATCTGAATTGGATTAGAAATCTGCAGAGATTGAATCTGAAACAATTTTTATCAACATGCCAAGCTTTTTGAAGATGGAAATATTGTGATAAACTATCAACTCAAATTTCCATCTTCAAAAAACTTGTTTGTTGAGGGATTTACTTAATATCCTTAAAGAGTGGGGCCAAGAGAAGTATTTGGGCAGGGAGGTATTCAGTTTTATTGAAGATAATATTGCAAAGAAAATAAGGGGATGGAAAGGAAATTTTTTTGTCGCCTAGCAGTAGAAAGGTGTTAAAAGCTATGCTTACCCTCTTATGCAATATCTTACTTCAAGCTCCCGAAATTTTTTTATGACAGGTTGAAGAAACAATGGTTTCAATTTTGGTGGGCTGTTTGGGAGGAAAAGTTTAAAACTCGTTAAATAAGTTTCAAGATATAAATTTTTTCTATGACAGTCTAATTTGTCGAGTGGAAGTTGTTTCCAATTAATTTGATTTTCTTCCACGGCCTTGTTATAGGGCAAAGTGGTCAAATTGATATCTAATTACATAGAGTAATATTAAAAAAGAATAAAAAAACTTTGCCTCCCAGAGTATAACTTATATTTCTAAATTTGTGCACCTTTGTTTTTTTCTGTAACTTGATACGAGAAAAATTAGGATGCTCAAGCAAATATTAATGTTTTTACCTTAGAAAAGCTAAATTGAAATGAAATCTATGCAAATCAATAGAGGTATGTTCTTCGAAGAGATAACAATATTACTAAATACCAATTCATCTAGCATGATTACGTTTGAGATTTATAAAGTCCTCAAATGGGTGTAATAGCATCGTTACATTGAATTATTGAAACCTTTTATACACATATTTATCTATATACTCTATAATATAGATATATAGACATAAATTTGTGGTTGAAAACCACTATAAATTGTTGCGTCTCATCAACTGGGAATTGCAAATCAAGAGATCCAAGTGTTGAAAGCTTGTAGAATTGATAGTTTATCACAATAATTACAATGATCATCATGAACAAGTGTTTAGTGGCCTTTTACATAGCTTATATATAATATTTGAAGTTGTCTACATTCAAAAGACTATTGCCACAATATATGAGTAACAAATTAACACAAACAACAAACAACAAACAACAAATAGCAAATACTTCTTCTCCACAACACAAACCAATCAACAAGAAGCCTCCACATACAATGATCCCATACTCCCATGCTTTTCAACAAATACAAGAAAGTAAATTGCCTCCACACGGGCTGATGATTTAAAAATTAGTCACTTCAAGGCACGTGACCCCCTAATACAGTGTAAAGAGTTTAAAAATTGGTCACTTTAAGGCACATGACCCCCTTTTTGCAAAATGGAAGTGTGAAAACTTACAATCATCTCCGAAGCAGCAGCATCAGTAGCTTTGCCATCCTTATTTACATGTGTGTGGATGAATAAATCTGCACGAGAAAGCTGAATACCTTCGTCTTCCTCAATCTATAAAAGAATATATTGTGATATATATTATTTACCACTAACATTTATAATCATTCAACAACATAAGAATTGAAATAATTTATATTTTCCATAAAAACTTCAATTAACCTCGGCAGAAACACGTGCAAAGCTTTTTGTCCCCGTAATATGCATCATTGTCTGCTTCCCACGACGTTCTTTATTTTTTTTGCTGACCTCCTACAAAAAGTGAGAAAAAGTAAAAGTTCTTTGAGTAAAGAACATTCCACCTAAAATAATGACTGAAAGCAGGTAAACTATAAATTTAACTCATTGACTTCAAAAAACATTGTGTTAGATGGAGGATTACCTTCGCCATAGGCGTACCCCAATGCCTAACCAAAAATTCCCAATGCTCCTTTTCAACATTAGGTGGTGGGTTTGCCAATCTTTCTTCATCTGTATCCCTAACTAAGTAGTATTCATTTTTCAACTCACACTTGTACCCCCTCCATTTTTTCCCGATGGAGGATATTGTCCACTGTTTTATCATGATTCCCACATCATATTTCCCTTGAAAATGTGATAATTGTTGTATGTTAGTCCACTTTTTCCATAAAAATTATTTTAATGTTATTGAAGGATTTTACCTTTACAATGTTCCACACATCCTCCTTCAGTCGTTTAGGCATCTCCCACCAAGTTTTGTAGCACAAAGGAGCTAATTCACCCTTCCGGGCAAGTGTTCCCAGATAATTAGTATATGTACCACTCCCAGGACCGATCGGCTGTCCAAACTTATTAACCCTAAACAAAAATTAACAATTGTAGATGTTTAGTACAAAAATAAAGATAGAAATCCTTTTTTCTCCTTCATATTGAATATAGTCTAATTATGTAAACTATATAAGATGATCTATATATATATATATATGTACCTTATTGGTAATAAGGTTTTCGCGTCTATGACATTCTTGCATCGTGTCGGACCCCGTCTCTTCTTCAGCTGTGGTTGGGATGATTTTGAAGTTGAAGCTTCAGTATTTTGTTCACTTACTTTTTCCACTTCACTAACCGTTCGTTTCATTGTCAACTTATTATTTATCCTTCCTAGAAAAGCAAACAAAAAAGTGAGAATTCAGTTAAGAGAATGCAATCAAATTGTTAAAAAAAGACAATAAAATTGTAATTCAACACAACATCTAAACATCAGCACGGGCAATTTAATAACTATGACACAGTGGTAATTATTGACTCTTGTTCCAAGTCAAAGTATTAAGTTGGATCCAATGCAACCGATTACAAGCCAATCTGTAATGCCATCGAGAATCGATGAATAAAATAGCTAATGGACGATAGATATATAGTTGAGCAAGATCAACAAAGTCAGCTTATTATTTATCCTTCTTGGAAAAGCAAACAAAAAAGTGAGAATTTAGTTAAGAGAATGCAATCAAATTGTTAAAAAAAGGCGGTCCAGGAAAAACCAATAAAAAGAAATAACAAATACCTCAAAACTTTAGGGTATTTATGGTTGTCCAATGGAAATTATATAAAACCATTCTAATTAAAATTAGACCGTTCTGTGGTTTTGAATTATTTTTCTAAACCGAATTGTTAAGTCAAACATCAATGCTAATATAAATATGAATATAGATATTAAAACCAATCCTAACCAAAGCAACCAAACATCAAAATAGTCCTGTAGAGAGAAACTAAAACAATCCTAACCAAAGTCTGTATTATAAAAAATTTTATGTACAGTAAAAGATCAACTATATATATATATATATATATACTAAGTACGAAAAATTCGTTTGGAAATAAAAGAAAAAAAAAATTCAAACCAAAAATTCATTTCATAAATGAAAAAAAAAAAAACATTAAAAAAAAAGTAATGCCGAAAGAGAGACAAAGTAAAACAAAGTTGAAGCCTAGGGCTTCAACTTTGTTATCTCAGATGAGATAATGCCGAAAGAGAGACGGGTTAGCAAACATCAATCAAGTAATTCCATCAAGTACAATGGAGGACAAAAATACATTTAAAAAAAAAAAAAAAAAAGTAAACATTTTTGCAAAAAGAAATCAATTTTCTGGACCATTATTCTAGAAATTTCTACTATAGACCTTGATTAATTTGGTATATAGAGGTGGATAATTGCATTACAAGAGTTTGATACACTCAGTCTATTTTAACCCCTAAAAAAGAAAAGGTCTCTGAAGATTATCTTGGAGCTCAAATAGAATTCTATATTAAATAAAGGATACATTTAACATTTGCTAAATTTTGCTTTTGAAGTTATATATTTAGTGAATACAGACAAGACATTTACTCAACTTAACAAACATTTCTCAACTAAGTCAATTAAGTAAATCCTATTTTCCAATCCTGTTTCATACAAGTTTAGAATTCATTTGCATCTTATTAGTTCTCTCGTTAAGTGGAAAAAATCAATATCAACAAGTATCACCATGGTCTAAATTAATACAGGTCTAACACTGATCTAGAGCTTTGATTACCAACTTGGGTTTTCATAAGCATCTCCATTATATCTTTACCGGTAGTAGACCATTTTTATTATTATTATTATTATTTTATTTTTTAATTCTGGCAAGAACATGGACACCAGCAAAAACAGAAACATAAAGCCAAAAAACATGGACACCAGTAACAATGTCCCAACCATCCATCAAACATCTCCAGGAGCTTTATATATCAGTATCGATGCAATTCATAGAGTTGCACGCCCCAATGAAAATTGGATTCACAGATTCACAGCCCCAATGAAAATTGGAAATACAGACCATATATGCATATCAAATACAAGAATCGATAATGAATCGCTTCTATTAGCTTTGCTCGCAGGAAAGAAGCGAAGAAGATTTTTCCTGTCGTTTGTGTGATATTCAACCCATCTAGGTAGAGATATTGAAAGTGTGCCGTGATTTCTTTCATGGTGGAGTAGCAAGAAAGTAATTTCAAAATCTCAACATACAAAACAAACATATATTGGCATTACAGTTATCACAGTCACAGCCCCAAAATAAATTTGAATTCGAAATACATGCAAGCATAGTCACAATTTTTCCAAAAGAATTGAACACAAAGACATATATAGACCTACGTCACAATGAAATCCCAAATTTCCTCATGAAAATCCAAAATCCCCAAATCAACATGTATCAAAACCTCCTTTAATTTTTGATTTTCAAACATGAACTCATATATTTATATATATAGATATATAGGATGAGAAGAGGGAGACGACTTACCCAAGGGAGAACAGAGGAAAAAGAGGAGAATCCGAGAGAGAGACCGAACTTCGGCCAGAGAATTGGCCGAAGAAGAAAACCGGAAGAGGAGAATCGGCGGCGAGACACGGTCTTTCTCCTTGGTCAAGAATCGTCTGATTGTGTGCGCTAGGGTTTATGTTTGATCGTCTGATTGTGTGTGTGAGGGTTTATGCTGAATGGATCGAGAAAGAGCAGTGTCTTGCAGCTGAGAGATCGAGATAGAGATGGAGCAGAGAGGGCAGCGGATGAAGTAGCCAAAATGAAATTGAATGAAAAGGGAAAGTGGAATAATCTGTAATAGTGGACCCAAAAACGACGTAGTTCAGGCACGAAATATATATATAAATAAGGGGAGGGAAAAAGTGGAGGGAAGAGAAAAAATTGGAGGAAAGGGCATTACCAGCTCTTCTCTTCTAAGCGCTGGTACTAGTACTCCAATACCAGCACTTCTATTTTAAGCACTGGTATTATTACTATTACTCTAATACCTTAATACCAGTGCTTTTTAAAAAAGTACTGGTATGTTACCCCAATACCAGCGTTTTTTAGTGAAGTACTCGTAATTAATACTCAACATCAGCACTTTTCTAGAAGCGCTGATAATTAGTACTCAACACCAACGCTTTTTTTAAAAGTGCAGGTGAAACCCTAATATGTTGTAGTGTTGCTTTCAATTACCTCCCTTGCTTAATAGTCTTGAGTTCAATGACTAAGAATCTTAAAAAATATCTCCATTTATATGTACCTCTTCTTTCTGTGGATACATTTTCTGTTTGCTTCATAATTTAATGAACTTGCATTATTTGAAATTTTGGAGATTAAAGGCTTTCATAAAAATATGGAATACTTTCATGAAAATTCTAGTAGAATTGAATTGAGAATGAAATTTTGAAATGATGTTTTTATTTTATACATGTCACATCATGAATTAGTAACTGCATCCAATTTTTTAAAAATAATTCTATTTTGGATTGATTTATTTACAGAGTTTCCATAAATAATTGTTACAGTATTATTTACCTGATGGTCCAATTCTAATGGAGTTGGAATCCAAGCTGGTGATGTTTTGCTACTAGACTCTCACTCAATTTTTTATGCTTTCTAAATAATACCAAGCTAATAATTTTTTGGTTGTGCGGGTACTGTATTCGGCATGATATTGCCCAAAACATATCAACTACATGACTCATAGTTTTATTATTACTAGTAAAAGGCACGTGCGATGTACGTGATGAATATTTTGTAATTTATAGAATTTTTGTTTTCATATATTTTTTTCTAATTGTTGATTTGAAACTTGTAACAATAAACCTTACAAAAAATTGCTCTTTTTATATTAATTAATAAACAATTTTTTTTGTATTAATAAATAAATAAATACAGAAATATTTTGAAATTGGTGGTAGAGTTTCAGTTTTGTAAAATAATAAATTATTGGGTAAAATGCAATAAAACCCCCCTAGACTATTGGGATTTTGCAACTAACCCTCTAGACTACAAAAAACCCCCCCTGGACTTTAATTTTGTTACATATTACCCCATCAGGTCACCGGAAAAGATAAATGACATTTTTGCCCTTATTATGAAACGACATCGTTTGAAGTATTATCATATTAACTTGCTGATGTGGCAACAAAAATCTCAATGGCGAATGGGAGATTGACAGCACACCGAAGAGATAACGTTCTTTCTTTTATGGGAAATCAGTGCCGCGAACGTGGTCTTCTCCTTAGTAATGACGAAAGACCGACGTATCAGAGTAGCGGAGAAGGCAGAGGAAGAAGTGGTAACAGCGGCGATGGCAGCGAGTTTGTGGGGTTCGATTGGGTTTAATGGTGTGCGATTTAGCTTGAATTGTTTGAATTCCCAAATTGATGGAGAGTTGTTTGAATTCCCAAATCGATGGAGAGGCCAGGTAGGTGATGGAAGTAGCGGTGATGGTGGTCGGGGAGTGAGTTTTGTTGTTCAATTGGGTTTTACTCTATGTGGTTTGGTCTTAATTATTTGAGTTTCTATGGGTTTAGGTGTGGTGGTGGGGTGGTGGCAGCAGCAGTGGGTTTGTGGGGTGGTGTCAGTGGAGAGGACAGGTAGGTGATGGAGGTAGCGGTGATGGTGGTTGCGGGAGTGAGTTTTGTTGTTCAATTGGGTTTTACTATATGTGATTTGGTCTTTAATTATTTGAGTTTCTATGGGTTTACGTGTGGTGGTGGGGTGGCAGTGAATCAACTTTAAAATCGGCAACCAGGCAAATCGGTGAGACCACGGCGAATCACAAATCCACATTCTGACAGTCACTATGGGTTTACGTGTGGTGGTGGGGTGTCTGTTTCTAGCTTTTTCGTTCACCGGCCATCGGAACAACAACGGATCTGTTGAAGAAGCCCTAGCAGAACTTCACGGCGGTCTCGAAAGTCTTAGAGCTTCTACATCTCTCAGTCTTTTTCGGCCACCTTCCACGGCGGCAGTTGTGTCATACGGTGGTCGCAGGTGTCACAAAAGGCGGCTTCGTCGACGGAGCAAAAAACAAAGGCTTCATCTCTGTTACACACGTCGCACTGGATCTTCATTTAGCCAGTACGGTTGTTTGATCTAGATTGATTGTATGTTATATAAACAGCAAAATGGGTTTAAGAGGTGAGAGAAAGGGAAGTTAGAGAGAGAGGCTTGTGACGATGTTTGGTGGGATGGAACAGTGGTGCTTACAGCGGTTCCGAAATCAACAGTGAATGTTCTAGCCAACGCCCCTTGCTCCATCAGAGTAATCGTCGACCGGGGACTGGCAGAATCCGGCGACTTCGCACGTCGGAATGTTGAATTATAGCAAAGTCGGGCCTTTAAAAGGGCCTGTTGTGTAAAATTGTAGATAGGAATTTAGTTCACTGTTAGACTGACCAATTGGTTTTGGATTCTACTTATTTGAAGCCTAGTCCAAATCTGTTAGACACACCTTTGGTTCGATGAAGAAGATGAACAGTAATATATATATATATATAGATGTGTCTGTGTATAGATAGAAATGAAGGTTTGTGTGAATAACATGAGCTGTTTGATTTGGGGAAATTTTTGATAAAGGCTTGTTTGGGTCTGTGTTCCATTTTACGGCCTTTAGGTCCACCGGTTGGAAGTTAAGGGCATTATTGTCATTTTATGCCTATATGGGCAATATGGTCATTTAAATTTAAGAAACCAATTTTAACGGTCATGTATCACCGGACATTGGACGGATGGGGTCATCTACAATAATTTTGTATAGTTTAGGGGGTTTCTTGCATTTTTGGAAGTTCAGGAGGTTAGTTGCAGGTTTCTCAAAAGTCCAAGGGGGTTTCTTGCATTTTACCCTAAATTCTTTTAGGTTTTTAAATTAATACTGAAATATTTATACTTTATTTTTTTTATTAATTAATAATTTTTTTTCTTTTAATACTGAAATATTTGAGTTTTACAAAGTAATAAATTCTTTTAGATAATTTGATTTTATTAGGTAATTTGTAATTTGAATTTTATTAGTTAATATTTAAAAAATTATACACACACACACACACACATATATATATATATATATATATAATAGTATAGATTTAAATTTTATTAGGTAATTTGTAATTTGAATTCTATTAGGTAATTTGAAATTTAATATAATTTTAAATTTACTGTAATGACCCGGTTATTTTCCTTCCTTTCTTTTTTCTCAGATTTTCACGGATATTTTTTTTCTGTTGATCTTTCCTTTTCTGAGCTCGGTTTCTCATCACTTAATGTCGTCTCGAGTACTCTGGAATGGTTTCCGAGAATCTTTCTCTTGGATTCATAACTTCCTTTAAGGACCATGTCATTTCCACATTTTCATTTTTTTGACACTATTCACTTTTCGTCCTTTTCCCTATTTTATCTTTTCCCCGTTTGTTACTTTGTTGGCATAACCTCACTTTTTGTGTTCGAAATTAGTTTTTGACTTCACGTATCTTCATTCTAAGTGGTTTTCACGAAATACGTATCTTTACTTTTGCAGAAAAGTATTATTGGTTGCTCCCGGTATCCATAGGGGCGTAAATGCACAATTCTTCAAAAATATTTCATTTTCTTATGGTGTTTTTTGTAAATATCTTTTGAAGATATTTTATTTTGGGGGTTTTTAAGAAAATATTTTTGGAAGATATTTTCATTCTGGGTCATTAGTGCAGTTATCACTTTTTGGAGGGGCCATTGTGCAATTAATGAAAATTATTACTAAATACCTTATTTTGAACCTGGATTCTCGTACGGGATTCATTTTCACTTTTCGTTGAGTCGTGTACTCTTAGAATTCCCTTCTAGTTGTTTTTCTCAAGTTTCAGGGTTTCTAGCCCCGTTTGCCGCCGAACTTGTTTGGGGCATATCTTTCTACTCGGGACTCAGTTTTTTACCCCGTTTCTTCTGTTGTTCATATTTTCTCATTTTGGTTCTTTTTTGTTCACAGATTTTTGCCGTTTGAGCGTGTCTGCTCAAATTTCACTTTTCCTGACCCGGTAGGGCCCGTTCGGGGTTTTTGAGTTTTTCTATAAATAGGGGGTCTTAAATTGAAAAATCAGATTTCTATCTCTCTCTCCCCTCTCTTGGCCGGATTCCATGGCGGCTAAGGGCTGCCACCTTCTCTCTCCTCTTTTGAACTTCTTCTCTTCAGTGAAACACCGTAGTGCCTTAGTATTTTATGTTCGCCTTGGCAAGGCCTTCGATTCCACCGATTGGAATTTCGTTTTGGCCATTTCTTGACTTCGGGTTTGAAGTTAAATTGTGATTTTGATGGGGATTCCTAGGGGTTCTTGTTCACCGTGTTGTTCCTGACGAAACCTCGAAGTATCGTCGAATTCGGAGCGGTTTCATTTTGGTGGCTTTTGAGATTTTCATCTTAAATTGAGGTACGGGGTGTTTTAGGATTATGTATGTGTTGTATTGACTGTTTTTTCATGATTATACAACTTGTTTGCATGCATTTTATTTCTTTGTATAAGATCTAATTTATATTGATGTATATAGCTTATAATTGAATTATGGCATGATGATAAATTATATTTTGATATGTTTGTTAACATATATTAAATTGGAATTATTTGAATAAGAATTGCACTTTTTATTTAATAATTATCTTTTGTGAAAGTTTAATTCTCATGGATGTACCTTGCATGAAATTAACTTGTGACATGCTTTTAAATTAAGTCTTTGCATGTACTTTAACATACTTTAATTTGAGAGCATTTGGATAAGTTTGAAAATTTAGAAATTTTAATTAAAAGGATTAATTAAAAT